GATAATTAATTATCAATTTAATATAGAATGAGTATCTTATATGACTTGATAATTAATAATTCTCATAATTAAATTTGATTTTTAAATGCATTGTAGATAGCTATAGTATATATTTCTGAATCACAAAAGAAAAGTAAATAATCATTGAAAAAAGTAAATAATAGTGTAGATTTTGAATTGATTCTCAATATGTTTAAATAAACTAAGAAATCACAAAAAAAGTAAATAATCTAATTTTAGGTATAAGATTTATTCTGGAGACGTAAAAAAATAATACTTAACATATATATTGACATATAAGTTTTGATAGGACAAGCACACCCAAATCATTTGATACCATAAAAATATTTAATAAAATTTAATTATTGATGTAATTAGTCCTAAACATTTGGAAGGTAATCTAAAATTACTCACTACCCACAATATAAGTAGTGCATATGCAAATGGTGAATACGTGATAATGGTGAATGTTGGCAAAATTTCAAAAATGATACACCAAGTTGAGCGTTGTCAACAAAATAGATATTTTGTTGTTTTTCGCGGAAAAGAAACATGTAGTTGGCGATTTGGTCGTAAAAGATATATTAATCACCCCACCTGGATAAAAAAGTTGGCATGGTCGAATGAGGTAGTGACGTGACATTATAACTTTCTTTAGTTTCTTTGGCGTGATGTGACATCATTATCTCCAAATACACAACTACACATAGATAAATAAAAATAAAATAAAAAAATCCAAAACTAAATAAATATAAAGACACATCAACAAAAAAATAAAAATACTTATAATAATACTAAAAATAAAAAAATAGAAAAATTTAAAAATCCAAACCCAAAAAAATATATTTCGTTCTATTTCCTAAACTATATATTAATAAAATATTCTAAAACTTATAATTCGTTAATATATATTAAAAATTGTTAAAAAAATAAAAAATACTTTGTTAATATTTTGTTATTATTTCGTTAAATATAAATATTTTCGCGAAATATATATATATATATAAATATTTTGTTAATAATAATAATTATATATAATTTATTATTAATTATATTATCTAATATAGTAGTTTACATAAAATTTAATTTACTTAATATATATAAATATTAAATATAATTCACAAAATTTAAATTTATACTAAAATATATATTTTAATTTATTTCAAAAATATAAATCTAAAAAAATCTATTTTAATTTATTTAAATATAAATTTATATTTATATTTAATATACTTATATATATTAAATAAATAAAATATTATGTAAAGTATTATATTTGATAGTAATAATAAATTATATATAATTATTATTATTAATGAATTTCATTTTTCTCTTTTTAGTATTTTTTAATATATATTAGTGAAATATATTTATATTAAACGAAATATTAACGAAATATTTTTTTATTTTTAATATGTATTAACAAAATATTAATTTTTTGAATATTTTATTAGTATATAGCTGACAAAATAGAAAGAAATATATTTTTTCTATTTTTTTTTTATTTTTGGATTTTATTTTATTTTTCTGTTTATTATTATTATTATTATTATTATTATTATTATTATTATTATTATTATTATTTTATTTTTTCTGATGTGTTTTTATTATTTGTTTATTTATTTATTTTTAGATTATTTTTATTTTTATTTATCTATGTGTAGTTGTGTACTTGGAGAGAAGGATGGCACATCACGCCACGTAGAAAATAAAGGAAATTTATAATGTCACGTCATTATTTAATCCGACCACGTCAGTTATTTATCCAGGTTGAGTGATTAATGTATCTTTTGGACCAAATTGTCAACTAAATATTTCCTTTCCGTGAGGGACAACAAAATATTTATTTTGTTGACAACGCCAATTTAATGTATCATTTTTGAAATTTTGCCGGTGAATGCTTAACGAAATACTTGAATTATATTAATGTCAATAAAAATTAAGCATTATTATTGGTGAATGCTTAACAAAATACACCCAAAGTTACCAAGATACTTGAGTACAGAATAGGAGTAATTCACGCTATAAATCTCATATTCAAAATCTGTGTCGTCATACGGTCCTCTCATATTCAAATCCAATGGTGATGTTGATTTCTTGCATGACCTGCACACTCTGGAGTTCTTAAATAGTATAAAATGTTCTGGTTTTCCAAATCATGAATTGCACTTAAAGGTTGGGACTCCTGTCATGTTGTTGAGAAACATTGATCATTCAATTGGACTGTGTAATGGAACACGCTTGGTGATAACGAAACTTTTCACTCACATGTTTGAATGTAAAATTCTAACAGGATCAAATGGTGGACTTAAGGTATTGGTATCAAGACTTTCTCTAACTCCATCTGATCTCATGATACCCTTTAAGTTCTAACGTAGACAATTTACTCTTATGTTTTCTTACGCAATGACAATCAACAAGAGTCAAGAGCAGTCGTTATTCCATGTCGGACTTTACATGAAAAGACTGGTGTTTATTAGTCCTGGTCAATTATATGTTGATGTGCCTCGAGTCACTAATCCACAGGATTTAAGATATTAATATGTGGGGGGACGACAATGGGGAAAAGAAAACTACTAAAAATGTTGTCTATCAAGAAGTTTTTCATAATCTGTAATACCATATAATATTTTACTTTTATTATCTATTCAATAATAATGTTATTTGTTTGTCATTTACTTTTTACGATATATATATATATCTATATTTTAATGTATTTATTAAAATATTTTAATAAATATGTTCCGTGCATTGCACGGGTGAAGATACTAGTATATATAAAACGTGTGATTTGTCAACCATGAATTTTTCAATCAACAATTCACCAATTGTGGCGTGATTACAATTCTGATATCAAATGTAATATTCAATTTTAAGGAAGAGATTGGTTTACTATGAAAATGTCTTTTTTTTTTTATAAGATGTTAGTTTTCTTATATATATTTTCTAACTAATTAACGTATATCCCACCTAATTATCTTTCTCTAACTAAATCCCACTGTATATTCTGTTAGGATTTTAATATATGTGAAACTCATCTAATATTTTCTTATAAATCGTCCAAAAATATATTCCTAAACTCTTATTCTCCTACATATATAATTTTCCTTATAATTCGTCCTAACTTATTATGTCGAGAGGAATAAATTTCAGAGATCCAAGATTTTTCCTTCAAATCAAG